CTGTTTTCATGCTGCAAAGATAGAATGGAGTAATGGAGACGCAGACCATATGGCCTATAAAATCTAAAAAATTTTACTATTTGCAGAAAAAAGTCTGCCCACTTCTGAGTAGTCTATCAAAATAGGCATACCAATTAGGGATATACTTAGAACCAGAATTGCTGAGTTATAGAAGACACTACCAAAGAGTTTTCTGAAGTTCTACCCCATTACCTGCAGTTTTTCTATTATTATGACACTGCAGTTTCATCTTGTTTGTAGAATCAATGATTTGATACAATCTGTTGTGATATGTTACTTTTACTTCTTTCTTGATAAATATAGAACCTTAGAGCTAGCTTTTTTTATAATCAGTCTTCTATGGAATAATGTGTAGTATATCTCATTTTCTATACAGATCTCCAAAGAAATTATCACTATTTGTGCATATATATATAAATAACTCATTTCATATTTTTGTGAATGTCCATGTTTCTGTCAGGATCTCTTTCTTGCCACCAGAGCAACTCTTTTTTCTTACAATTAATACTTGGTAAAAATGAACTATTTTGGTATTTAAGTGTTTGGAAATTTTATTTTTATTTTTGGAAGAAACATTTGATTATATGAGACTCTGGGTTGGTAGTTATATGTAATCCATTCTTCCCTGAAATGCCATCACATTTTCCTTTGGCTTCCTTCACTTTTGCTGAGGAATCTACTTCTGGTTACTCTTTGTAGGTAATATTTAGGTTTTCTCTAGCTGCTCTGATTTTGACTTTGCATTTATTTTTCAGCTCTTGGGTCATGCCTAGATGTTGTTTTATTTTTTAATTTAATTTTTTTTGTTTGTATTTAAATTCCAAGCAGTTAACATACAGTTTAATATTCGTTTCAGGTATACAATTTAGTGATTCTATGTGTCCATGCAAAACCCAGTCCTCACCACTAGTGCACTCCTTAATCCCCATCACCTGTTTCCTTCTTCCCTCTACCCACCTCCCCTTCGGTAAGCACCAGTTTGTTTTCTAGAGTTAAGAGTCTGTTTATTGGTTTGCCTCTCTCTCTCTCTCTCTTTTCCCCTTTGTTCATTTGTTTTGTGCTTAAATTCCACATATGAGTGACATCATATGGTATTTGTCTCTCCAGAGACTTTTTTCTGCTTAGGATTATACTCTCCAGCTCCATCCATGTTGTTGCAAATGGCAAGGTTTCATTTTTCATTATGGCTGAGTAATGCCCCATTGTATATATATATCTTTTTTATCCACTCTTCAGTCAATATACACTTGTGTGGTTTCCATAATTTGGGTCTTGTGTATAATGCTGCTATAAACATCCGGATACATGTATTCTTTCAAATTAGTATTTTTGTATTCTTTGGGTAAATGCCTAGCAGTGCAATTGTTGGGTCATAGGGTAGCTCTATTTTTAACTTTTTGAGGAACTTCCATACTGTTTTCCAGAGTGGTTGCATCAGTTTACATTCCCACCAATAGTGTAGGAGAGTTATCCTTGACAACATCTCTTGTTTCCTGTGTTGTTGATTTTCACCATTCTGACTGCTGTGAAGCGATATCTCATTGTAGTTTTGGTTTGTATTTCCCTGATGATGAGTGCTATTGAACACCCTTTCATGTATCTGTTGGCCATCTGTATGCCTTCTTTGGACAAATGTCTATTCATGTCTTCTACCTATTTTTTTAATTGGGTTGTTCATTTTTTGGGTGTTGCGTTTGTTAAGTTTTTAATGTATTTTGGATACTAACGCTTTATTAGAGATGTCATTTGCAAATATATTCTCCCATTCTGTAAGTTGCTTTTTAATTTTGTTGATTGTTTCCTTCACTGTGCAGAAGCTTTCTATCTTGGTAAAGTCCCAATAGTTCATTTTTGCTTTTGTTTCCTTTGCCTCAGGAGTTATATCTATAAAAATGCTGCTATGGCTTATATGAAATTTTAAAGATTTTATTTGTTTATTTGACAGAGAGAGAGACAGTGAGAGAGAGAACACAAGCAGGGGCTTTGAAAGAGGGAGAAGCAGGCTTCCTTTGAGCAGGGAGCCGTATGTGCAACTTAATCCCAGGACCTTGGTATCATGACCTGAGCCTAAGACAGATGCTTAGTGACTGAGCCAACCAGGTGCCCTGGCTTATATGTAATTTTAATTGTACTTCTTCTTCTTGGCAGTGTAGTTTTTAGAATATGTGATTTGGTACCTTTCATCAGTTTTAGAAAAGTATGGACTATTTTCTCTTCAAAAATGACTTCTGCTTTATTCTTTCCTTTTCCAGTTACATTTCTTACTATTTCATGAGGTCTGGTGTGCCCTTTATACTCTTTTTAGTATTTTACATTCCAACTATTCTATTTTTACTTCAGTAGAATAGCTATTATCAATCTATCTTTAAGTTTACTATTCAAATTTCTTGTAGCTAGTCTATTGAATTCCTAACTACATTGTTCATTGTTCATTTGCTTTCTTTTTAAGATCTAGAATTTAAAGTGATTCCTTGGTGAATTTCTCCAGAACATCTATTTTGCAATTTTTCATTAAGTTTCTTGTATGAATTAATCATGACTGTGTTTAAATTTCTATTTTCCAAATCCAATATATGGCTCAACTTTTGGTCTCCCTATATTGTCAATTGTTTCTTTTGTATTCTTTCAGATGGTCCCACAAGCTCAATGTTTTGTATAAACGTTGTAAATGATCCAAAATGATATTGTGTTTCATCACAGAGATTTTGTTCTTGTTTTTGGTCCTAGGTTATTCACAAAGTTCTGATTGCCTTAATCCCAACAAAGGCTCACATAAAATTAGGTTCTTAGAATTTTTGTAATTTTGGTGAGGGCCTGTCTATCTGTTTTCTTTCAGGTGATAGGGGTACTCCTTTGGATCTTCCAATTCGGGGCACTTCTTGGCAGTTCCTGAACTCTAATGATTATTTCCTCAACACCTTGATATGAAAAAAAGATCTGATTTTCAAATGTGTCTCCTTGGTATCTCAGGAAATTGACTCTTACAACTTCAGAATTTGGAAAATACCTCAAAGAGAAACTGGCTGGCTGTTAAGCTCAGTGTTCTGCCAGTTCACTTTTATCAGAATCTTGTGTCTCCAATTCTGTTTTGCCAGCCCTGAAAAAAGAAAAAAAAATAACACCCAAAACTCTGGTTGTTAGTCTTTTCCCCAGCAATCTCTGTTTGCTCTGCTCCTAGAATCAAGGACTGCAGAATTTTACTTAATTTTCTACAATTGTCTTTAGAATCTTGGTCTTTTTTTTTTTTTTTAATTATCTCTTCAATGTACTTAATGCTTTTAGTTTGAGTTTCCCAAGTAAAACAACTGCTTCAAGGATGGAAAATAAATTCAATTCTGGGGAAATTTAATATGTATAACATATACATTTGATCAGGACCAGATCCCTAGGTAAAAAATGAAATAAGCTAATATTAATTTGATATTGAAAAAGTATCTCATGGTTTTCATAAATCTATATTGAATCATTTCATATATATGTGTGTGTATTCTAAGTACTTAGAATAAATTGGTATACTTTGAAATACTTTTCAGATATCATGTCAGTAGGGCAGAAAGCCATTGTTAGTGCTGATTTTTTCCTAAGATTTTATTTATTTATTTGAGTGAGAGAGCAAGCAAGAGAGAGCATGAAAGGGGAGAAGGTCAGAGGGAGAAGCAGACCCTCTCCGCCCCTGGAGAGCTGGGAGCCTGATGCAGGACTTGACCCAGGACTCCAGGACCATGACCTGAGCCGAAGGCAGCGACCCAACCAACTGAGCCACCCAGGCACCTCTAGTGCTGATATTTTAAATTTGATAATGCATTTTTTCATTCTCTGGGAAAAATACTAAAAAAAATTTGAGAAACATTTAGAAGAAGTAGAGCTTTAACTCATGTAGCCCAACCATAGGTGTTGCAAAACACAAAACATACATATAAACACAAGTTTTAATGTTCTGATGTGAAATACAACTATTTTAAGTACTGGCCATTTTTAAAGCTTAGATTAAAACATAAACCAACATTGATGATAGAAGAGATTATAGAGCTGTATATAAAAACAGATTTCTTATGAACACTTGGAAAGAATTAGTATATTTACTCCTCAATTTTAGTCACATAAAGACCACAAAAGAGCACTCTGGGGGTGCCTGGGAGGCTCAGTTGATTAAGTATCTGCCCTCCGCTAGAGTCATGATCCCAGAGTCCCAGGACCACGTTCCACATTGGACTTCCTGCTCAGTAGGGAGTCTGCTTCTCCCTCTGCCCCTCACTCTGCTCTTGTGCTCTCTTTCTCAAATAAATAAATAAAATCTTAGAAAAAAGAAGTACCCTGGCTTTTTCCTGCTCTCTTTCACTGTATCCCCACTCCCACCTGCATATACATGTGAATAATCACACCCAAATAGACAAACATACAAGCTAAACCAGTGGAGATAATTTACTATAATGTAACAAAACAATATTTGCATTGAGATAAAGTTTATTTAATAATATGTGTGATTTTTAAAGATTTGTTTATTTATTTGAGAAAGAGAGAAAGAGAGAATGCAGCATGCAGGGAGGAGGGGCAGAGGGAGAGGTAGAGAGAATTAGAGCAGACTCCCTGCTGATCATGGAGTCCATCGTGCAGCTCCATCTCACAACTCTGAGATCATGACCTGAGCTGAAACCAAGAATCCAATGCCTAACCTGCTGTGCCATCCAGGCACCTTTAATAGATATGTTTTAAAGTAAAATTAACAATTCAACTTAATTAAATTTTATGTCACATTACAAAGATAATACCATATCAGAGGAAAAACTTTCTTATAATCTGCAATACAATCTAATCCACAATAATGAATCAAAATGGGCATGCTGAATTTCCTTTATTTATCTCAGATGGTTTGGTACAAAGTGAGTATTTTGGAAGGCATATAAAATTTTTTCACATGAAGGAAACTTGGAGAGAATGCAAATAAAATAAAGTGATGTAGCCAATAGACTAAAAATGCTTCAGTAGAAGCCATAAGACCAGTATCTTCCACAGCACAATGGGCGGCAGCAGCCATAACCATAGCCACCATAGCCAGAGCCATAGCCATAGCCCAGGCCACCATAGCCATAGCCAAGGCCACCATAGCCATAGCCAAGGCCACCATAACAGTTGCCGTAGTAACACATGGTATCAGGAGTGGAAGGTTCAGTAGAGGAGCAGGAGGTAGGTTTCTTTAATATGAATGCTGCCATCTGCTGAGGGCCTTTTATACACCCTCAGTGGTGGGTGGGGAAAACCACAGGCTGTGTAGCGTCCTATATCTCACTAATTTGCTTCAGACCACATCATGAATATTTAGATTTCTTTGCAAAACAGGGCCCTCATAACTGAGATAATTTTACTCCTAAGTCAGGACTCCCACTTATGGGCCTTTAAAATGAAACTCTTTCTATTTTCAAGGCTATGTCTCACTCTCTATTTATTTGAAAAAATACAACTTGATCACATAGCATGATGCAAAACATGAAAATAGGAATCCCATTGTTTGGTTTTGTTTCCATTATTCTTTAAGAAGAATTTTAAAATGGGTCTTGTCTGGAGGACTAGGTTTCCTGAATCTTTCACATAAAGGATGAATATGATATATATTTGTATACTTTTAAAAAAAACTTCCTTCCAACTCAATGTCACTATTTATTGATTACGTTAAATATGGTAGTAAGTACCATATAAGCCAAATATGGACATATTTGGCATTTATTTATCAACCTTTCTTCTACTATGTGTGACTTTGATCTTTCCAGAAAATGTGTGACCATTTTATGGGCAGAAATTATTTATGTCTTATGCTTCCTTGTGTCATCACATAGGAAGGTGTTGTAGATATATCTGCAAACCAGATGGAGGTTAAGCTTGATGCTCTGTCCTCAACTCATGTCTTTTTTATCATGGCTGATTTCTGTTTTTTCCAGGTGCCTAAGATTTGCTGTAGTTATATGTGTCCAGAACAATGTGTGGATATTATCAGAGAGGCAGAGAGAGCCCTGCATCATTCTTTATTCTCTCAGTTTCAGCTGATTGGTGAAGTGCTGGTGGGGATAGAAATCTTTAGTCATGGAAAGACTCATTGAGAACACAGCAGAGTCTATGCTCTAGCTTCTTTCTTTCTTTCTTTCTTTCTTTCTTTCTTTCTTTCTTTCTTTCTTTCTTTCTCTTTTTTTAAATTTCAATTTTTTAATGAAAATTAAAATATAATTGAATTTAATTAAAATACACTTTACATAAAATACATTTAGGTCTATTTAAGAGGATGGATTTCTTCCACTGTCCAAAAGAACAATATTCCTAAGAAAGCTTTCTTAAATTGAAATGGCATAAAGCAAAGAAACAATTATCATTAATTTATATGAAAAAATTCCTGAGCATTCCCAGACTCAGAAAAACAAAAACAACCTTTCTTAGGTTTTTCTGATACTTTAGGACACATTTTGCTAACAGATGCACGAAATAAACCAGGATAAAACATGGATGCTCACAGACAAAGGGTTCAGAGCTCTGGGGGTGAGGCTGAGATGCTGAGAGGTCTTGGGGAAAGAGCGGGAGGCAGGGGTGTCACTCTCAGAGACCCGCGGGCTGACTGTACCTGTAATGACTCACTGCAAAAGCAACACTGAATGCTGTTTTCACTTTTTGCCCTTTTTTTCCTTTGCAAAAGCAAAAACCCCTTTCAGATATCTTTTGGTTAGAGAAAACCAGTAAAAATGTAGGTTTTTTTTGTTTTGTAAAAGCCATGTGTTACAATGCAAACTTTTGAAAAGCTACTTGGATAGCTAATGAGATTTGACAAATAGATTAATGCAGATTATGTATTTTCACTCTAAATATAGCTATTGGGGTATTTTGTGAGGTGGGGGGAGAACCTTCCTGACTATAGAGCTGCCAAACTGACATTTTCTCTGACCCCACAAACACTGCTTTGAGCATTGAGAGTATTAAGAGGTATATAGATGGGATGAAGAACCCTGCTTTCCCTCAGACTTCTGATTATATGAAACTTCACAGAAAAATTTACATAGGTTTTTCAGCCTCTTTCAACCACTCAGTTGTTACTTACCTTTTGCTAACCACGGGTCAGCCATTTTTAAGACATTGTGTTACGTGACAGCGGTTATTTTTCCAGTGTTTCCTCATATCACTGACCTTCTCATTCACAGCAGGACAGACTAGAAGTGGTAAAAGGACTTTAGAGAAACTTCCAGCATTGCAAAGAAAAATAAATAAAATAAATTTGCTTTCTTCTGGAATTGGAAAACAAATCATTATTTTTCTGCATCGGATGAAGACTTACTACACAATCTCTTCACATCATTAAGGTAGATTTTCAGTTATCAAAATGATGCTTGTCATCTATGTTATCAAGCTGAATCTTGTTGGTAGGTTTCACTTTTTCAAATGGGATAATGGCCAAACTTTTTTTTTTTTCTGAGAAAAATGTAGCAATTTCTTGAAAATAAAGTAGAAGGTCCACTTAATCATAATGATCTTTGTCTGACTGATAATGGATTCCATAAACCTCTATTGTCTCTTTACCACTTCTGGATGTCATGAAATTTCTTGAGAAAAAAAAAGGGATAAGTGGGCACATTCATTTTGGAGGTTTTAAATATGGGCCTAAACAAAGTGGGAAGGGGAGGTGGTACTCAGTGCATCGAAAACTATCATGCTGAGGTGGTGAGCAGTAACCAGGTCCTTCCTGGAGGACTTGGACATCAAACGTTGGGCAGTCAGCAGCCACCAGGCACAGAATGTTTCATGAACTATTTCATGGACAGCATGCATGATGTAGGTAGAAGCCTGTGAGATGTGAGCAGCAAATGATCTCTTTTTTGAGGCATAGTTTTAAGTAACTCAGCCAAAACTTAAGTAATCAAAAATGGACAAAGGCAGAGGTTTTTAAATGTAGTGATGAGGAAAAGGACTATTTTGCTGGGCAGAAGTGTCATTTAAAAATTTGGCCTGGGGCACCTGGGTGGCTCAGTTGGTTAAGCATCTGCCTTTGGCTCAGATGATGATCCTAGGGTCCTGGGTTCCAGTCCCATATCAGGCTCCCCGCTCAGAGGGAAATCTGCCTCTCCCTTCGCTACTCTCTCCCTTCTTCCCCCAACTCCCCCTCTCTGTCAGATAAATAAATAAAATCTTTGAAAAAGAGTTTGGCCTAGAAAAGCAATTTGATAGTCTGAGCAGATGTAGTAGTAGCTGCTGATTCACATGGAAGCCTGGGTTACATATGTTCTGAGATAAAAAGAACGGATGTTCAGATCCTTGAATGTGTAGCTACAGCAAAAGTTCAGAGACAGCCCAAGACAGTCTATTCTCTGATCTTGGTTTCTGCCTCATTTTCTCTGCTTGTCTGTCATTTGTCTCTCTATCTCTCCCTCCATTCCTTTCTCTCACATGCATACATACACATAATCAGAAAAGGCAACAGAATGGAAATATTAAGGTAAATGCAATGCAGCAATATTTACGGGGATAGATTGTTGAATGCTAAAACAGCATAAGAGGTAGAACTTTTTTTTTAAGTAACTAGAATTTTTTTATTTATTTTTAACATCTTAATTTAATTTTATTTTTTTCAGTGTTCCAAGATTCATTGTTTATGTACCACACCCAGTGCTCCATGTAATACGTACCCTCCATAATACCACCACCAGGCTCAACCATCCCCCCATGACCCTCCCCTCCAAAACCCTCAGTTTCTTTCTCAGAGTCCACAGTCTCTCATGCTTTGTCTCCCCCTTTGATTTCCCCCAACTCCCTTCACCTCTCCATCTCCCAATGTCCTCCATGTTATTCCTTATGCTCCACAAGTAAGTGAAATCATATGATAGTTCCAGGTTGGGTTCCATGCTCAGAGAGGAGTCTGCTTGAGATTCTCTCTCTCCCCCTACCCCTTACCTTTCTGATGTGCACTCTCTCTCTCTCAAATAAATAAATAAATAAGTAAATATTTAAAATGCTATTGCATGGTTTTTGCTCTGTCCCATCATATAAGCCAGCAATAGTCCATCATTTAGGCAATATTTTATTGAGGGGCTTTATGTGCCAGATGCTTTTAAGGCAATGGATTATATTACTTCTGTTATTGTGATTATGACTTCTCATATGATATTCCCCCTTCATGTATAGCATTAAGATGTGGCAGTGTTGCAAAGCCATTGAAAATATTAATCCCCCAAAAGCAATATTAAATTGAATTATTTAAACACACACACACACACAAATGAAGAAAAAAAATATAAATATCCAACTTTTGTAGCAACATGGATGGGACTGGAAGAGATTATACTGAGTGAAATAAGTCAAGCAGAGAGAGTCAATTATCATATGGTTTCACTTATTTGTGGAACATAACAAATTGCATGGAGGACAAGGGGAGATGGATAGGAGAAAAGAGTTGAGGGAAATTGGAAGGGGAGGTGAACCATGAGACTATGGACTCTGAAAAACAATCTTAGTGTTTTGAAGAGGTAGGGGGGTGGGAGGTTGGAACCAGGTGGTGGGTACTAGAGAGGGCACGTATTGCATGGAGCACTGGGTGTGGTGCAAAAACAATGAATAATGTTACGTTGAAAAGAAATTAAAAAAAAATAAATGCAACAAGTACTTTCAATGAGATAAATGTTTATTAAAATTATTCTAAACTTTTCTCACATAAGATTGTTGATCAAAAAGGTAAGAAATTTGGAAGGCAATACAATATCAAAGGAAAAGCTTTTAAAAGAATCTGAAACATTCCATATGATTTCAGTGACTCTAGTAAGGTTTGCAGAATCTGACTTATTTTATTTTATCTTTGTAGATATCTTAGGATGATGTTGACATTTTGGAATAAAAAATGGAATTATTCATAGGAAGAATCATGGAGGCAGATTCAGGCAGCTGGAGGAGAACAGTAGGTTGAGTTTCTCTGGAAGCTTCTCAGTAGAGTCCACAGGACCAGCATCTTCTGCAGCAAGATGGGCGGTTGACGCCATATCCATAACCACCACAGGCATAGCCCACACCATTGTGGCCACATCCATTGCCGCCATAGCCCCAGCCGCCATAGCCACAGCCCAGGCCACCATAGCCACATCCGTAGCCACCATAACCCCAGCCGCCATAGCCACAGCCACCATAGCCACAGCCACCATAGCCACAGCCGAGGCCACCATAGTAGTTTCCGTAGTAAGACATGGTTTCAGGAGTGGAGGGTTTTGCTGAGGAGCAGGGAATCAGTTTCTGTCAGTTTGAACACCACCATCTGCCCAGGTCCTTTTATACGTGCCCTCAGTGGGTGGGGCGCATTGCAGGACTTGTTGACCTCATATTTCCTACTAATTTACATCAGTACACTTCCTGAGTCTTTGTTTCATTAGGCAAGGTGAGGCCCGCCTGAGCAGGATGACTTAGGATGATTTGGCTGTTGAGTCAGCTTCCCTACAATCAAATTACATGCCTTTGATGTGTTTTTCTTATACTCTTTTTCAAACCCCGATAGGGTTTTTTTTTTTTAATTTTGCTTAAAATATTTGAATCAATTTTTATCTAGTTTAATCATTGACAATTAAATGTTGATTTTTAAAATCCTATCATTTCTTCATATATATGAGGGTCTTCAATAAAGTGAAAAATAACTCTTAATGATACAACTTATCCATTAGAGTCAGGTAAACTTTCCAAGTTTATTATTTACTTTCATAAATAAATTTCACGTGGGCATAAAGGTATATAGAGTTGTATTTTGAAGCTTTATAAACACATCAGCAGGATTTAATATCTGTCGGTATTCCACTATCAGTTCCTTCTCTCCTTTTTGTAGTTATTGTTATTCTTGCTGAATATTTTAAAACAAATCTAAGACAAGTAGCATTTTTCTTATAAGTACTTCAGTGTGTATGTCTATCACAAAGAGAGCTTTTTAAATACATGTATAATTATACCATTATCACACAGACAATTTTTTTAAGTTCCTTAGCATTCCTAATACTTAATTCATGCTCAGATTTTCTCAGTTGTTTCATAAATAAATTTTTACTGTGAATTTTTTCATGTTGGGACTCACATTTAGACATATTGTCTCTTAGCTCTTTTTAAAGACATACAGTTCTTTTCCAATCCTTTTCTTCATGCATTTTGTTTTTTTAACAAGACCATATTATTGTCCTGTAGAATTCTTAAGTTTTGGATGTGGCTGATGTCTACCTTGATTTTCTTTTCTACTGTTCCTCTATCCCTTATATCATTGCTGTCCTGGTAGGTAGGTGTAGATGGTTGAAGTGATTCTTCTTATTTATTTGACAAGAAAAATGCTGTATAGATGCTTTGTAGTATTCTTTTCTATAATATTAGGGGGCACCTGGTGTCTGGTTGTCCCATTGTTTCACATTTAGTAATGTTGGGATTGTTAATTGAGTTCGTGACACAATCTTTTCCAACAAATTTTATCTATTAACTTTTACACTTGATGATAGTTACATAGGCCCATTACTGCTAGAAGTTCTGTGATGTTGATCTTAAAAATTCTATCATTACCTCTCAGACCACCATAACTGTAGTCATGACCACCACAATAGTAACATATGTGTTAATAGTGCAAGATTCAATGGAGGAGCATGAAATAAGTTTCCCGAGTTTGAACGTCACCATCTTCATAGGACTTTTTATATAATGTAAATAGTAGATATGGCAAACCACAGTCAATGTTGACCCATATTTCAGACTAATTTGCGATAAATCTCCCCGTGAATCTCTATTTTTTTCATTTATGTGAAGTGCATCCCTTAAGCCATGACTATGTTTTTATAACGTCTGGTTTCTCACAATGTATTCACTTGCCTTGTATGGTAAGGTTCTATTATATTATAACAGGTTTGTCCACTCTGTGAACTATATAAAAATATATTTAATGTCTTGGATCAGACTCCATGTAATTCCACAAGCATATAAGACCTTATTGTTTTTTTCCCCTACTTTCATTTGAAGAAATTAATGTCCACTACATAATCATATATGAGATGGGTGGTTAGAAGAGGAAGTTACTTGGAGACACATGTCTATAAATTTTATGAATTATTTTTACTACAGCAAAAGATTTTTCAACTCTAGATAGTGTTTCTCACTGATTAATGATGATGAGTAATTGACTAACTGCAAGTACATTTCCATCCTATTATAAAGACACCTCTTCTTTCATTGATATTTACATTAATTTTTAATGTTTGTGTTTGAGTATATATGTGAAGTTGACCATTTACCTACACAACTTGGCATTTGTCTTGTATTCTTTTCCATTAAAGCACGATGGCTCCCCATTCAGAGAGTCTATTTCCTATGGCATTTTATGCATTCATCTGTCACAGTGTGATCAAGTGTCACTGATGTAGATAAGAGAAATGAGAAGGCTTAGTCCACTGGTTCTGGTGGAGCTGTGTTCTGTTTTGTCTTTCTTCCTTACCACTGCTAGGTCCCCAGGGTTTCTTTTGTTTATTATATATTGGTGGGGAGCTTCAGAAAGCTAACTCAGGTTAGCTGAATAGTGGTGGGGGATACCTGCATTATGGAAGAGGTATGGTTATGCTTGGGAATCAACTGGGTGTAGTTCTTGATGCATAAAGAAAAAGAATTTCTTGTCTATAGGAGACCATGCTCTAGGTTTTCATTTTTTTTTTAAAGATTTTATTTATTTATTTGACAGACAGAGATCACAAGTAGGCAGAAAGGCAGGCAGAGAGCGAGGAGGAAGCAGGCTCCCAGCTGAGCAGAGAGCCCGATGCGGGGCTCCATCCCAGGACTCTGGGATCATGACCTGAGCCGAAGGCAGAGGCTTAACCCACTGAGCCACCCAGGCACCCCTAGGTTTTCATTTTTAAATGCACATTTGATTTTCATAACTGAGCTGTTTTTTTTTTAACCAACATTAGCTGGATCCAAGTTTAAACCATAAAGGGAACTGGTATGTATCCAATTGGCTGAAAACTACTGAAACAATGTATGCATCCAGTATCATTCGAGAAAGGTAAAATATATGAACATATAAGTGAATTAGTGATGTTTTTCCAATTATGTATAAAAAAATAATTTTGCTCTATTTTAGTAGGCAATTTTAAGCACACAGTTGTCTAATTATTTCATCAAAAACACCAGAGGATTTGATATCGTACACTTGTCTTACAGGTACTTCTGAACATAGGTAAAAGATGGTGAAGTACAAACCCACTACTTTGTATTGTTACGAAATTTATCTTCCCCTCTGAGCTTAACATGAGAAGAGTTTGAACAATATCAATTGGACAAAGTAGAATCATTGAGGACCTGGAGAGAATAAATGTGTACCCATCTTAACAGCCATGTATTTTCACATGCTATTAATTTTTTAAAGTAAGCTCTTAATTTGATAGCATTTTAAAGGTGGCATAAAACATTGACAAAAGATTGTCAGCCTTATTTATTCATTAATTTATTTTCAATTTATTCATTAAAAAAAACTCAGAGACAAAAACAAAACTCAAATCTGTCAAACTTCCAGGATTTTCTTGGGTGCTGGAACCACATAGATTCTATAAATGGCTTTGTTTTCTTAGGGTTACTTGATTTTTCTCTCAAAACATAGGCCGTGGTATTTTTAATTTTATTTTTTGTTTATTTATTTTTTTAAGAGATTTTATTTATTTGACACAGAGAGAGAGATCACAAGTAGGCAGAGCAGCAGGCAGAGAGAGAGAGAGGGGAAAGCAGGCTCCCTGCTGAGCAGAGAGCCGGATGTGGGGCTCAATCCCAGGACCTTGAGACCATGACCTGAGCCAAAGGCAGAGGCTTAACCCACTGAGGCACCCAGGCGCCTCAAGGCCGTGGTATTTTTAGAAAGCCAAGAAAATTCCATTATATGAGATGGATACATAGATTAAAATATTTTATCTACTGAGAAAAATGAGAAAAGACTTCTAATTATGTATAATAAACCATAAATGTCATTTAATCTTATGATCCAGTTTTAAAAATTAATACAAATTTGAAATTTCTAAAGAGTTGCTTGTCCATGTATATTATTCTTAAGGAATAATAATTGCGACACGTAACATGTTGATATTTCATATTGATAAAATGACTATGCTTTTTTCAATCATTTGGGGAAAAGTTTATAGTTTCAAACAAAGATCAAAATCATACAAATTGTTAGGTCAAAATAAGTCTTCAATACAGTGATGTTGAAATTCCATTCTACTAATTTTTTTTTTCTGATAGGGTCTGGTGGAAAGTTGTATTTAATCTAAAAATAAATTTTGATATCTTCAAAACAGAAATTAGAAATATGAAATTCAAAATCACCATTCCATGAAAGCACTGATTTAATTTCTTTTGTCTGATGTGCTGATGGGGTAATGGGGTGGCACTTTCTAGAAATTCTTGAAGACAAATATGATATACATATCTGTTCTGTGGGCTACTATTAGATGTGGGATATGGAGGGTCACTTAAAGGACGTGAAATGAAAAATCCAAGTACAACCACCAGGAACCACAGGGTGGTGTGTAATATGAGGTGTAAGGAAATAATCAAAGACAGAGGTGTGTAGAATATGATGATTGGAAATAGGAGCATCATTTGGAGCGGGATTTTTATCCGTTAATTAAAAACTCAACATACAGGCTAATGTTTAAATATAATAAGGTGGTTGCAGTGATTACAGCTTTATCAAAAACAAATTTCATTTCAAAATAATTTATTCTTAGGCTTTAATTTTTTAGCATATTAAGATAGGTGATATTGCTATCACAAAAATACACACTCATGTGCATGCAACAGATGTAACAAAAGTAATGTAAAAAAGAGCATTATTTTCAATACAGGAGATTTTACTGAAAATGGAAATAAATGTTTCACAGGAAGAATGTTGAACTAAATGTATGCAGAGCAGTAATTGTAATGCAGTAACAGGAGAAGAAGTTTCTTTTGTAAAGCAAGACATTCCAGATGATTTTATTCAACTCAACTGATGGATGTAGAATTGCAACTTTCTCTCCTTCCCAAGTATTCTAGAATGAGAGAATCACTACTTCTGAAAGAAAAGAACTCAGAAAGTGCATTCAGGAAATGCAAGAAGAGAGTCCTGGAGTACCTCCTGAGGTTTTTCAGTAACATCCCTAGGACCAGTATCTGCTACAGGATGATGGGCGGCAGCAGTCGTATCCATGTCTGCCAGAGCCTCAGCCAGAGCTACAGGCTAGGACACC